ACTTAAAGCATAAAAGGCGAATTCTTATGTAAGTTCTTGAGATAAATGATGTTTTTATCAAAACGAATGGTTTGTTTAGATCTCAATGGGATATCATCTGAGTCATATATAATGGAGAAAATATGATGATTTGGTAGTATATTAGAGTCATCAGGTAAGTATACATGTGCTTTAGCTCTGTCATTACTAACTAAAATTAAGAGATAACATACAAGATGCTTAGCATTGTTTTGTGTTAAGTGTCATCTAAATGAATTGATAGTTTGTGGTTCTCTTAATAGAGGTAGTTGGTAATAGCTAAGGTATCTGTTGTAATATATATCCAAATCATAGAAGTCTAATGATGTTGATGATGATTTGGATAGAATTTCTTCTGTAGGGGTGCTCACCGTTTTATGCTTAGCTCTCACAGCTGCGAAGGATTCCATAATCTGCCATGTGCGTTTGGTCTGACTGTCATTATACTGGTCCTCCACGTAAATGAACTTAACTACCTGTCTACTTACATCATTCTTTTCTAAGAATGACCCACAATATGTGGAGGACATCGTTATCTCAGAAGTGGTGGCTGCTTCTATGTGGTCTACAGAAGAAAAAACTATTGAAAAGGATCAGTTGAGGTTTTTGAAGATGATGGTCCAGGTACTGCAATATTTGAGGTTGTTGTAGTATTTGAAGTTAAATTCTCATCGTTATTAGAGTCAGTCATAGTAACATCATCATCAGGATTAAAAATTACATATGTATGTTGTTGAGCTAAATTATTGTCTAGTGTGGTGTTAGGATCTTTAAGGATGTTTATAAACTTCTAATATCAAACACATGCAAAAATATTAAGTATAATGATTTTCTTTACCAATATAAAAATTTTTTTAAAAAAAATAAAATCTATAGATAAATTTATAATAAAATTTTGCTCATCACTAACTTTTACTGTGGTGCCCTTATATAAGAAATTAAATTATAAAACTAATATATTATCTAAAGGCAAATAAATATTCGTTTCGATGCCTAAATCACATCTAGATAACAATGAAATTCTCTTTCAACGACAAAAGATAATCTTCATAGGAAATAATAAATAAGTGTATAAATTAAGTTTCAGGTTTTATAAGATTAGTTATTATTTTTAAACAACAATTCCTTATATACCCAACTTCCCCTTTCTTTATATTTATTTTCTAAATTTAGTTTACTACCAATCAGGTTAAAAAGAGATAAAAACTCTTCATCTTCCTCCATCCAATCGAAATATTGTAGATTAGTTGCTTCTCCACGTTTAACTTTGTCGCGTTGGCGTTGTTCAATTTCACCCTGTTAGAAAGAAATTTAATAATCTGTGATTAAACGATAATACATGTGATGAAAGAATTCTTACCTTTAGTTTAGAAGCTGTTGAAAAATCACCCTCATTTATTGCTTTTGAAACATGTTGCCATAGCTTTATGCTCTCTAAATCATTTTGCTTCTCTATTGGTTCTATAATAGGAGTGGCTCTATGTTTGGCTCCCACATCAAGGAAAACGGATTTTTCATTGGTCATGTGGTTCACTAAAGTGGATTTCCCGGACCAAGTTCCAGAAGCAGTAAACAAAGGATCCTTCGAACCATTACGGCGTACCACGCTAGAAAACGTGTGTTTCTCTCCAGAAATCCAACCTTTCCCAGTAAATTCGATAACAGTGTTGAAATTCTGAGATTGGATCACACTCGTACCACTATATAACAAATTTAACAGGATGTTGAGAAGTAGAATCAAACGAGTATAAAATATTATGTAATTTACAGTATAGAATAGTTTGTAATTTACAGTATAGAATAGTTTGTAATTTACAGTATAGAATATTATGTAATTTACAGTATAGAATATTATGTAATTTACAGTATAGAATATTATGTAATTTACAACAAACCTTAATTCTACGTAAGGAGCACCTCTCCACAAACCAAGAATTTGCAGGGACGGCAACATTATCAAATATTTGTCAGAATAATCTTGTAGACGAACGATAATGTGACCAACTTGTGTGACGTCAATACGCGCAGCCGTAGCCCTAAATTGTGTTTTTTTGTCCAGCTTGATTTGTACAAAGATTAATATTAATTAAACCGATCACGAAATTGACAATTAAAAACGTCGAAAGCACATACTATGACCATTTGCTGTCACTCCTGAATGCTTATTTTCAAGATATATTGCAGAAACTGGTGGGTGATGACTAACTTGTTCTGAAAACAAGATAGTCTCTCCACAACCATTAACGTCTTTCCATCTAGCCAAGAATTGTTCGCCTTTATATCATTGATCATAATTGATCATTGTATTTAGTTAGAAAATTAATTATTAAGAATTATCGCATAAACAGAAGTTGACACAACTACTATTCTGGAATTTCAAGCAGTTCATATAACAAAACCTTACCAAGAATCGGATTGAAAGGCTTTTTCTCTATTTTTTCTTTATCTTTCCTAGACGCGAAGGAACCATATAACGTGCTCACAAACCATTTAAGAACAGCTACGGCCCTCTCAGCTTCGTCAACGGGCCTAGAAATATTCGCAAAAAGTTCTGGATGATCTGCCCAGTATTGACTTTTTCGGAATAGTAAAAAGAAAAATCGTCAAAACGGTATAAAGAGGAAGCACAAAAGTTTATACTTACATACCCATATTCCAAAGTTGAAACACCAGACAGAAGGAAACTTGGACATGTTAAGCTATATATGTCACCAGTAAATGTGGAAAGAGTTTTTAAAAAACCGCTAAATTCATTCTTTTTCGACTCAGGAATCTGAGGTTCTTGATCGCTATCCATACTGTGATTGTCTGTTTTTTCATTTTCACTCATTTTGCTTATTAAATTAAAAGGTTGAAAAGGTTAAAGGTGTATATTAATGTTACTTTCTGAAACCTGCTTTTTACATACCGAATTGGAACTTTTATTCCTAAACTTCTGTATGTAATAATGCATAATTACATGTAATATAATAGATACCGGTACGCACAGATAATAAAAATATTAATTACCGTTAAGAATCACATGTTCATTATTAAAATTGTCCCGAGTTACATAATAATAGATAATACATCGATATATATATAACTGATAATATCTTTTATTTTATTTTTGAATTTTAATGGTGAGACCATGTCTCTGTCATTAATAATATATTTTATTTATCGTTACGTACGTACGTACCAGAAAAACTTTGATCGATCGTAGTAAGTAGGCTAGCCGTCGCAGAAACGGGTATAATAAAGTAGCACGCAAATTAGGACGGATAGTACGTACGTACGGTTTGTAAAAGGAAAAGTTCGTCAAACCAATACTAGCACTCATCCCAACCCTAACCATTAAAAAGGGTTACTTATACAAATTGAAGCTTGCAAGTCGAAAGTACGAACTACAAATATGCTACCTGTTAAACGAATACGCAAGAGCCGTCATATATAATCGCTAACAAAGGAAAATAAGGCTTTAGGCGAATTCAGCCTTTTAAAAATCTAAATATATCTGATATGGTATATAACCACATACGAATCTGGGCTGGATACGATGATAAACTTGAAGATATGCGGCACGTAGTGTCGAATGAATTCGTTACACAAATATGCAATGGTCGTTGACATTGCATAATCCCAGAGATATTAATATATTAGATCCCGGCGAGCTATATGATAAAAAATAATCATCATATACAAATATGTTACCTGTTACATGAATACGCAAGAGCTGTTATATAAGCGCTAACAAAGGAAAATAAGGCTTTCAAATTCAGCCTTTTAAAAATATGATGTGACATATTTCTGATATGTTATATAGCCACATATATACGGTAAATAATTTTTCCTCGCCGGCACGTAGAGTCCCGCCCACATATAAAAATGTATTACCACGGTATGCACGAATGTCACACGAATATTACAGGTAAGAACGTTGATGTTATTGACTGATTTTTCACACGGTGTGCAACGTATAAAAAATCAATTTTACAATACCGGATCATTCGGGTAGTACATGTTATGATTATAATCCAACACCATTTTTATTAGTAAAAATGGTGTTGGATTATAATCATAACATGTACTACCCGAATGATCCGGTATTGTAAAATTGATTTTTTATACGTTGCACACCGTGTGAAAAATCAGTCGTAATAACATCAACGTTCTTACCTCGACACGAATATTCAATGTCCAATTTTTTTAAATAAAGATGTCGGGATCACGCAGTGTCGTACACGGGACTTTCCGATTAAAAATTTAATTTGAATTTATTTTTTATATAATTATAACGATAAAAAAACATGTGCGTAAAATTTCCGGGTCGAATCCATCGGGGTTAAAAAAGTCTGTCATCGGGATTTCAGTCTATCTGATGTGTCCAATAAATTATAAATTTAAAAACCTGATGGCAGGTTTCTCTTGGTAACACTCATATGGTATGAAACCCTTCTAGCAACACACAAATTATTTACGTAATCGTGCTTAAAAAAATATGTTTGCCACTCAGTATTAAATCATCGGCTAAACTCATATAGGGAGTCCCCAGATTTCTGGGCAGGAATACCTCGGAATCATGGTCGGCAGGGCCGGAATTGCTAATGAAGTCATAGTCCCAGCTGATAATTTTGGCCTGACTTGTATTGCTGAATACCGGCCTAAATCCTCAAGCTAGTGAAAATTTTTATTATATTAAATTATACGTATGTATTTAAACTCCGTACGTACGTAACTGATTTGGGTGGTTATGCTGGTTCATAGGCTTTTTTACATAGAAATCGATTATGACGGACATCCTTACATCGAATTCAGCCCACTTACTGATTTATTACTAAATTACTAATCGTATATCGAATTTTTATCATAATGTATTAGCTAGTAACCAATTAGAGCAATTGCAATTTTACGTACGTACGTACGTACGTACTGATGGCAATTACCAAATTTGGAATAGGTTTTATTATTATTTTATATTTCGTTATATAAACGAGCGACCAAGAATTTTCGGGTCACGTGATGATCATCAGCAAATTTATCCAATGGGAAATCGTAATTAAGTGTAACGTAGCACAATCAGGAAAGTCCAAAACAAACCATTCGTTTTGATAAAAACATCATTTATCTCAAGAACTTACATAAGAATTCGCCTTTTATGCTTTAAGT